TTGCTGATGTACCACCACTTTCAAAAGAAAAACTACAAGATATTGAGGATCCACTCGATTATTTGTACAAATACTGCATAATACAGTAAGATTTAGAATTGTGCTTGGTTTTTTTACTAAACATTGAATCAATGCTATCGAATTCACTTGTCACATCATTAATATTTTTTACTTTATTTTCTAGTCCAGATCGTATGGCTGTTTATGAACGAGTATTTTTGAATACAATTAAAAAACAAAAGCCTTTGTTTGAAGGCATGAATCCACCAGAACATACCGTTAAATTGATTAATACGAAACGAGGAGGTGAAGGATGGAGTAATGTAGGTGGTGGAAATTATGTAAATGATCCAAAACAGTATCATGCACTTGACTCAAGCGATGATGATGATGATGAGTGAGTGTAACATGACAGATAGACATTCAGTTAAAAATATTCTCTTATACATACACATTTTTTCAGCAAACCAATTCAGTTAATATCAAAACAAGGTCATAGTTATGTGAATTTCGAAAAAGAGATGAATGATGGAAGTTATGGTGATGAAGTGAAACCAATGAATGTAAAAATAAAAAAATATATCTTAAATATTTGGTTAATGTTAATAATCTTTAATTTTTAGTCTGTTACAAGTCAAAAATTACAAAAAATTGACTTTATTCTAAATGATTTAAAAGGCAAAGAATATGAAATAATTGCAAATTTACAAACAACAAGTGGTACATAAAATTCATAAATATTTTCATCTAAAAATAATAAAAATTCTGACATTTGAGTTAAAACATTTTCTCTTTCGCATTGTTTAGATGATTTGACTAAGATGACGGGTGGAATTATCATGGATATGTATCCTCAAACATTAGATCCAGAATATGATCCAAAAAAGAAAAAGCAAAAGGTTTATGATGAATACGATCGAATAGTATATCGAGATCAAATTATAAGATCATATTGTTTGTAATATTTAGACATCGGAGAAAACAATTGGCGAATTAAAAAGCTATGGTGCTATGTATACCACTGATCAAATGTTAGATCGTTTAAATAAAAATCAACGCCAAATGGTAACCGTGTTATTAAATTTTACAGTAATACAAAAAATTTCATTTAGTACATCTATTTTAGGTTGATGGACAAACAGAAATAAAACAGTTGAATGGACAAATAAGTTGGAGTAAAAATAAATTAGTTCAATTACGAATGAGAATTGAAATGTTACTAGGTATATACATTCTAACTAATTTTAATTATGTTTTTAAAAAACTTTGTAATTATAATTCAAAAGGTGAACGTGAAGGTTTGATTGCTCGTGATGCTGAAGAACACCAACAAGCTATGTACAAATATAAACGTGTAGAAAAATTTCGTCGACAACAAAGTCCATTGTGGAATGCATTACATCCATCAATTGTACGTATAGAAAGAAATGATTCAAACGGTATAATTTGAATTTAAATTTCTCTTTGTATATCGTAGGATTATGAAATGAATGTTGAAGAATTAGAAAAAGCATTACGTCAAATTAATGGAAATCTTATTTCTGAGAAAGAATGTCAATATATTAAATTTGTATGTATAAATTGTGTTTAAAAAAAACAATAAAAATTCTTCAATCATTTTATTCGTTCAGATTTTGAAAATACCTGGCGTAAAACGAGTAAATTTAAAATTGTTCAGTTTAATTGCAGCATTATCAGAAAAAGTAACACAAATCGAGTACGGACATAGTAAATAAATGTTATCTACATGCATTATAGAATTATATTAATTTTTGTTTAGACCATTTGTCCGAAAATTAATTAACAAATTCGATTTCGAAGCTCTTGATATCAAGATGTTAAAAGCAAAGGTGAGTACGTATACACATACCATTGCAGAAAAAACTTTCATTCTTATACTTTGACATGTTACAGGAACTGTTTTATTTAATGGCTGATAAAAGTCAAAAATTGACACCAAAAGGCTATGTTCCAATTCAATCATTATGCGTTGAACTTGCAGCAGGTGGCGTAGAACGCGATAACATTGAAAATGTAAAAGAAAATTAATTAACTAATCATTTTGTAAATGCTATGATTTTCTCTCTTCTTTTTTTTTTTCAGTGCAAAAAGAAATTTGATCGTGAAGGAAAAAATTACGTAGACTTTTTAGATTGGTTAACTTATGTACCATTATTCGTCGAAATACATTCGCGTATTTGTTCAAATCCTTTTTTTCGTTACGAAGATCCACTCAAAGCTCCACCCAAAGAAACAACAGACAAATGACAAGCTCGTAATGATCTTTTTGGTGCTTGACAAAATTCTAGTCACAAAAAATACAAACTGCACATTCAATAGAGAAAGAATTGATATATATTCGTACTTTTTTTATTTTTTTTATAAGATAGTTGTAAATAAAATTCGGGCGTATTCTAATTGTTCAAAACTTTCGCCTGAATGATGATTACGATGCTGTTTTTTGTACCAGCTTTAATTGAATTATTACCATGTGTAAGTAAAATAACGGGGCTATGTCAATGGAATATTTATTTCTCCAATGTGTTGGCGATGTGCACGGGTACGCGCGGACTCGAAAAATATCAACACGATTTTCGCGTATGAAGAACCATTTTTTCTCAGAGAGTCAGGCAGATTGCCACCGTGATCATGGCCGATTATTCGGAAATTTTTATCAAGTATAATTCTAGGCTAGACTAGTTTATGGTTAAAATAAAACTTTTTCAAAACGGTTCATTCTTGAGTTATAGATGTTTTCTGTACAATTATTTTTCTGATAAAAATAATCCAAATAAAATCCACTAAGTTTCTATAACTATAATATATTTTTGGATTATTCTTTTTTTTGTGAATGTAACTTGATGTCACGCATATATGGGGAAAAAAATCTCGGCAAAAAAGTTATCGTCTCGTAGAAAAGTGGATTTTACCATCAACACTTGTAAGTCATCTTTCTCTAAACACGGACTGGAGAAAGACTTGAGATGTTTAGAAGAAACACAGCAAAATGTGCTCTATCAGAAACCGATGTCTGTTCTTCTATATTTTCTATGTACTTTTGTCATTCGAATATTCCACAGCAAATACTCCCAAATACTAGAAACTGTATAGCTCTTAAATAGAGTAATGTGAAGTGGTGGGAGGTGTCTCATTTTGTAGAGAATTGTTTATTCTATATTACTAGCTTATAAAAATAATTTGAAATTCTTGAAGTTTTTCAACAGGTTTCTGAAAAACTGGGTATTAAGAAAAGTTTTAAATGATTTTTGTACAAAATTTTGACGTCGGTTTCCGATATATTCATAGTAAAAAAATCATCCAAAAATATATTATAGTTCTAAAGAAAAGTGGATTTTATTTGGATTATTTTTATCAAAAAAATAATTGTACAGGGAACATCTATAATTCAAGAATGAACCGTTTTGAAAAAGGAATTTTAACCACAATTAGTCTAGCCTAGATCTACACTCGATAAAAATTTCCGAATAATCGGCCATGGTCACAGTGGCAATCTGCCTGACTCTCTCAGAAAATGATTCTGAATAGGTATGTCCTTTTTCTTCAACTAAATTAGAATTCCTGAAATGCAAGTAATAATGAGTGAGAAAGTCAATATGATATACACTTCTAGACGAATAAATTGCTCTTCATCTATGTGAGATCAGCTGCAAAAAGTGTTTGTTTTCGGTGACATACACTAGTTTGCCTCACAATGGATATTTTCTCATAGAGCAACGGGAAGAATAATCAACACTAGTTTGACCAATAAAATTTTTAGAGACTCTTACCTGTAATACACAGTGCGCACTTTCGGCTAGAGTAGACGAACAATATGTTATAAAACAGTTATAAAGTGCTGGATAGCTATTAAAAGTCGGTTTTAATAGATTTTTGACTTGATTAAATGGCAACGTAAAAAAGCCTAGAATACTTGGTTTTCTGGAAGTTCCTGGAGAATCAAGGGATTCTGAAAATTCTTTGCTGTTATTTTATTTGAAAATTTTCTGTTAAAAAAATAGGCTTTTATTGCGCAGAAAATCATTTTTGAGCAAAAAAAGGCTATTTTGAAAAAATATTTTTCGATCAATAATCCCATGGGGATCCTTACCCAGGCTTTTTCTAGTAATTGTTTTGTTCAAAAACCTTCTGTATTGTACATCATTCGATCCGACTTCTCGCACTGATTGTGAATATGACCTAGTTTTTTCTTGAAAATGTTCCGGAGCCGAGAAAAACGGATTTTACCTGGAAATCTATACTAAAGCCTAGGAACGTTTATGTTAATTTATGCTAGTGTGTTATAGATAGACAAACATTTTGGTCAATTTTGATTGTGTCTGAAGCTGTGAGAAATTGGAAAATTTCATTATACTAGAGATAGCTGTGAGGAGAGCGACTTAGTTTGAAAATTCATTTTATTTCTCAAACGATATAAGTCTTAATCGAAACCTTTTCTCACTAACCGATAGTCAGAGATGTCTGCTTTCACAATAACTATTGTTTAGATTTTTAGTTTGTTGGATTTAATAATAAAAATCTTTTTTATTCATGGTGCTACGGTTCAACAAAATGCATGTCATTAAATTGAGCCTAGATCAAAGTATATGTATCTGTATTGAATTCGGAAAAAGCTGACTTTCATTTTTTCACCTAATGTCCTCGTGGATGCCCACTTTATGATAAACTCTGGTTTATCAAAGATAACAATGATCAGTATATCAATATAAATGAATGATGGCAAAAATCTATGTGATTTAGCTGAAATGTGTGTCAGTTAATCCCATAGTTACCAATGTATTTGTCTAAGAGGGTTCAAGTTAGTGAAAAACATGATTAATGAGTAGAACAAACGTCGAGTTGCATTAAAAATGCACAATGTAAAATTAAATCGGTCGACATCGACAAACATTTGCTTCTTTTTCTTATGATATGTTTTTCATTTTGAGAGCAGACATGCAGATTACCGGATTGAGACATTCTATATTGCATTATGTATGGTTGTTTGTTCAGGTGTTGTTCTATGTCAAACTGAATTATAGTTACATTAAAACAAATCGTATTATTTTATGCAGTGTTCGTTGCAATCGTCATACATAGTTAATATAAAGACGAGTGAAACTGATTGCATATACAACAAAAACTGTTGGTGACAAACACTGTTGCAAAGATTTCTTCGTAACGATATGTTCGAATGGACTTTTTTTAAACTAAAGCTAAAACTTATGCGAAAAACGTGAAAGAGTTTGATTTAAGCTTTTAGTTTATTACGATGTGTAGATTTGTAAAAGAACTTTCTAGCTGTTCCTAGGGCCTCACCTACGGTATCGTTAACGGGCCGTTTAACCAGGACCATTTTACGAACCGTCCACACTTTTTTTTCACCGTTAACAGAAATATTGTTTCTGCCATTTTTTCGGTTTTTGGTCCTTAGTCCTAATCCTAGGACCACGGTATTATCTTAAGTATCAACCGTAGAAAGGACTACTTTCTTTAATCAAGTTTCGATGACTTGTATATAGGAGGAAGAGAAACATTTTAAATTACTTCGAGAAAATTAGTGTCATATATACAGTGCTAGTGATAGCAAAATAAAGAGATGAATAACTTGTCGACAAAACGACGACTCTTAACGCCCTTTTTAAAACGTTAACGAGCCGTTTTGTAAGTAACCATTAACGAATCCCGATTCAGCTAGGTTTCCAGATTTCTAAGGTAAAATGCTCCTTTTGGTGAATTGAATAAAAATTTAAAAAAGCAGTTGCTTTACGTTGTTCTCATACATATTTAGCACAATTTAGAAAACGGCTCGAACTCTACAGTTCCTATAGGAAAGAATAGATTTTTGCAACGTTAAATTAAACTCCATTTATATCTATGTTTGGTTGCCATTTCCTTCGATCGATCGTGCATTAAAAATTATATCGGATCTCTATCCTGACAATACAAAATTTTTCTATTTCTTTTCTTTCTACACTCTAAAAGAAAAGTGTTTTAAAAAACCCAAAAAGATTTTTTATTTGACAAAAAACGTTTAAACATTTTGGTTTCATCCCGAAAACACGAAAACATGATTTTTAATTGTTCATAAAACCTTGGGGTTTCTAACAATACGTTTCGTAACCGTTTTCGAGACAAAATAAAAAAAAAATGTATTTCTAAAATAGTAAAACCTTAAAAAGTTTCTCATTTTCCGAACAAAACCTAAAAAGGTTTTTTAAAAACCATTTCTCAGAATAAGTATTAATTCCAAACCGTTTAATGCTTTCGTGTCTATAGGGTAAGGTTTTTATGGAAATGAAAAAACGATTGAGCTTTATAAAAATACTGTGTAGAGTTTTTGAATTATCAAAAGATTTTTTTTCAGTTTTCCGAAAACTATCTAATATTTACTTTAATTTTCTCAAATAGAAAGCGTATTTCATAATACGGAGAAGAATTTTTCTTCTGGTTGAAAAAACCGAAAGTTAGAAATGCGTTTTTCTTTGAAACTATTCTACAGGCAGACTCTTTTTAACACTACTATTTCGAAATAAAATTGATCAAGCACGATATTGATTGATTGATTGATTGATTTATATTTTAGTAGCCCCAAGTAGATGATAGATAGTGAAAAAAAGGAACACAAATATACATCTATTACATAAACAAAAACATGCTACTGGGAAGGCAAAAAAAGTTCTGAGAACCTATAAACTTTGCCACCTTGTTTTAAAATGATTAAAGCTCAAGATAGTTCTTCAGCTTTGTTTTAAACGACTTTATTGTGGGTGATGTAACAACAGCTTCGGGAAGGGTTAAATTCCAGCCTCGGGCTGTTTGGCAGGTATCTTCGGCTTGATCTTCTAGATTGGTCGTATTGGATAAGGTTCAGTCTAGATAGAGGAGAGAGGCCGTTAAGGATTTTGTAAAAGTATATAAGACGGAAGTATTTTCGTCTTACTTCAAGTAGAGGCAGATTCAAGCTTCTAACTAAATTCTGATCGGGAGTGGAAAAGTTTCGAGTAACCATATGGGCTGCTAGATGTTGGACGGACTCGAGACGAGACACCTGAGTGGTGAAAGCGGTGTCATACAAGACACAGGCTTAATCTAGCTTACTCCGGATACAATTCTTATAGATTTGAAGACGGATATGAGCGGGTGCTTGTTTAAACTGTCTGTACATAGCGGCAAGCGTTGCCGACAGGTTCTACTATATGGTTAGGTTTTACTATATGATCTCGCCATCTCAGTTTACAGTTTATTTCGAGCCTTAGTAGAATAAGGCTTTCCTCGCGCTTTATGTTAGAGCCACCCGATAAGATAAATTTGAAATTATTTGCTTTATCAGGGCTGTTGGAAACGAACATCCACGCGCATTTTGACGAGTTTAGAGTCATAAGATTGGAGCTGTACCAGTCACTGATTTTGTTTATGTTACTCTAGCAGAATTGATATGTGCTTGTCGCTGTTATAGGGCAGATGAGGGTGCAATCATCGGCAAAGAGGATAGTATCAGCCGATAGGTCTACAACGGCAGGAAGATCATTAATGAATATTAGAAATAACAGAGCGCCAAGGATGGAGCCTTGTACTACTCCGGATATTACGGGGGTTGGCATAGACAGTTTAGAGCCAACTCTTACTTGCTGGAAACGGTTGGAAAGGTAGTTCGTAAACCATTGTAGGGTTGTTTGAGAGAGATCTAACACTGACAAACGAAAAATGATTATTTGGTACGGAACTTTATCAAAGGCTTTCTCCATATCGAATATGACTAGAACGGTGTCTACCGGTGGTTGTTTATTAAGATTATTTGTCAGATTATGTAGCAAATATAATAAAGCGTCAATTGTTGATGTTTTTGGCAAAAAGTCGAACTGGTTATTGGAAAAGAATTTATTTATGCTCAAATGAATAAACAATTGATCATAAATAAATCTTTCCAGTAGTTTACTCACTATGGACAAGAGAGAAATTGGTCTATAGTTCCACACAACACATTTTGAGCTTTTTTTGTGAGTGCGGTTAACGAAAGCTAACTTCCACTTTGATGGAAAATCCCCAGAAGTGATGTTAGAGGTAGTTAAAAAAGAATGTCCTCATCTACACCATTTGATCCAGCGCTCTACCATTTTTCTCCATCTTCTGTTAACGTAAGAAAGAGAAGACAAAAATGGCGTAAAATTCTTTGATTTATTTGATGTATTTTTTATTTTCTGGTACCTGTCTTCAGATGCCATTTTTATTTATTTATTTATTCTGCTTTACGGTTCACAGGATGTGTGAACATAATTCGTTTTGTTTAAAAAAAAGCGTTATTTTAATTTGTGTTAATTTTATCAAATCGTATCCTTATTTGAGACTGAAAGCCGTCTTTTTCTACAAGGAAACTTTTTGAGACCTGAGATTCTTAAGCTGCGTTTTTTGTGTGACGTTTGCTTTTTCTCTATTAATACAAATGTGAATGTCAAAGTCTTTGTTTGCATTTTAGCTCTCGCTTTGAGTTGTTTTTTGTACAACGTCATAATTCTTTTTGTTTTGTTCAACTTTGATGTTGTCTTAGATCAGAGCTGATCACCTGCATAATTGCTCCTGTGAGGTGACCGTGCAAGGGCAAAATAAAATTTACCCGCGCTGCAGTTTGCAGGTTAGAGAAAAAACAAGAATAGAACCACTAAAAATTAATTAAGAATTAGATGTCGATGAAACAGAAGATAAGGATACTGGATTAAAACAACACGAAGTATTTTGTGAATAAGTTACGATTGTAGCCTGCGGAATTCTGATCGGAATGAGACATTTCCTAGCTCTACATAACTTTTCTTTCCAAAGTTATACAATTTACACGAAAGCTCTAAATTCATTTTTCCTTTTTCTTTCTGTAGCTTTGAGCTGACCAGGAACATTTAGGGCTTTTCTTGTAAATTCTATAACTTTGGAAAGAAAAGTCATGTGGAGCTGGAAGATGTCTCATTCCGATCAGAATTTTGCCGGCTACAATCGTGACTTATTTAGAAAAGTTTCAGAGATTTTTCGGAGTTTCTGGTAAACTGGTTTTCTAGAAACCGGCTAGGAAAGGTCTATGCGCCAAAAAGGCTATCACATTCGGAATCAGCATGGTCGATAACCTAGTATCCACTAGTTTTCGTTCGGAAAGTGAGGGAACAGTTGGCGAGCTTCCCTCGTTAGACAAATAACAACAACTATAATTAATCGAGAACAAGTTGGGGAGAAAAGTAATTGATCGTAGAAGGAACACAGTCATTGGAAAAACTCAAATAGAAGCCAAAGTTTGTGAATCATCTACCAGATTAAAATCAGATTCAAGTCATCAAAAAACACTTTTAAACGAGTGTTTTTAGTCAATCAAAAGTTCATTCTTTGAAGTCATGATTTATTTTCATGTTCTTATGATAGGCAAAAAAAGCACAACACAAAAAACAAAGGCAATAACGTACAAAATTTAATTTTTGTAAAATATTTACAAACAACTCGAAATGATAGAAATCAACTTTATTAATTTACAACTAGACGATCATAGTTAGAAGAAGCTACCGCTCGTGAATTCCATTGTAAATTGTCGGAATTCAGTCGATCATCGAACTTTGATCCATACATGCCTCCTTCGTAATCATCCATCTAAAAAGTAAATAAAAAGCAAATATATGATGTAGTATGAGAGAAATTTTAACACATACCTCATGCTCAACATTTAAACGTTTAAACTCAAATAATTGTGTTAATACATAATCTAATATATGTTTAGCATCACGTTGATCAACCGGTATTCTACTTGATATCCCAGCTATATTACCAAATTCTTTTACAAAAAATTCTAGATCTTGTTCATTACATTTATTTGCTAATTGATTTAGACGTGATGTTTCCGATGCAAAATAATCTTCTAAATCAAATAATTCTAATGCCGGTGGATCAACATCATGAAACAACGGTGGATAAACAGCCGGTTTCAACGGCGGCATGGGTATTTCAAACTGTGGTTTAATTAATGACACTGGTTCATGTTTCACTTGAAGATCTTCATAAGAGCTAATCGACGCAAAAATATAATAATAAACTGACTTAAGAAGACAGATGTCAGTATTGATAAAAGAAACGTTTACCGAATCATTTTCGGTACAAGTGATAAGTCTAAATTGAATAATTGATGATCAAGAAGTTTTCGAACGTCTTTTGGTAATTCTTCGACATCATGTAAACTACATTTTAACATTTCAGACATTGCGATAAGATCAGGTGTTTGATTATAATCAGATATCTATCATTGAAAACATCAGTAAATTCATTTGTTAAAAAAATACAATAAAACTCACATCTGGTTCTTCTGAATCAATTTCATTTAATTTAAATCTGTTATTAGTAAGAAATTCCATTATGGTGTCCTGCAAGTGTCTACTTTCTGCTGATGTTCTTCAAATTAGCCAGAGAAAACTTACGAGTAGTTTTTTATTTTGTTCCTTGTCAATATAGTCATCGTGAAATACATAGGTGGAACCACATACGCATAGACGACCACCTCCCTGAAAATATATTGGAAAGAAAAAAAATCAATTTTCAATACCACGATTAATATTACTTTTGACGCTGATGTATAAAATGAACATATTGGTCGTTGAAATGGAATACATGTTGATCCTGTTGATAATACAGAAACAGATGGTTGTTGAACATTTAACGATGCACCAAATGGATAAACAAATTCCAATGATCTATTAACAGAGTAAATTACTCAATTCTAACTGGAATATGATGACAGAGAAAGACAACATGGATATCCTCAAAATACACTTCGACCTACTAGAAGTCTGTCGTCTTACCTAGCTACCTTTGCTCGTATTGATTTATCAACGACAACGTTTTGAGTTTTTTTATTTGTCGTCGATGCTGTTTGATAAGCATTCTCTGCTACAGCTCTGAAATAATCAACGTTTACTAATTGTAGGAAACAAGTTACACGTAAATCACCTGTTTAAAACACCGTCTAAAATGAGCGCTTCTTTTGGATAAAAATATTTAAAATAGGCTGCTCGAATAACACTATCTGAAAAAGAAGATAAACCAAATTACCTATCATGATCGTAACATCTGTTTTACCTTCGTTTACTTGAACCCCATAATCTTTCAAAAAGATGTTTATATTTGTTGATTGTTTCGCTTCTCCTCCTTCGTTTAATGTTATCAGCACACTACCACCATTCTCAATGTAACGTTTAATGGAGTCATACTGGAAAAAAGTAAAAGTTGTACATACCGAATAGAGGAAACTCAATATTTACCTCTCCCATAGTAAATTTTTCTCTTGGATTTGCAATAACAAATAATCGAAATGGTATGAGACGCTCAGTTGTAATTTCTTCTCTATGACTGAAGTTACGAATATACACTTGAAACAAAAAAACATTTTCAAGAAAAATTTTCTCACTTTGACAATTTCCAATTTTTAAGATGAACTTGTAATTTTTTAAATCCATTCGATGGAGAAAATTGTTCATTTTTTGATTGATCAAACAGAACATTATTGTTATTATTTCCTAATTTCTGTGATCCTTTCTCGTCTACATTCTAAATTAAACAAAAAGATACAGTTGGAATTAAAAGAGCAAATGTTAACAAAAAAAGAATAAGACAAGGAAAGCAAATTCAGTTCTCAAGTTTTAAGCCACGAAAGTACTAAATATGCGGTAGAAGGTGGTTTACGTTTACTCTGAAATACGCCGCAAACTATGTATCAATTCAAGACTCTTTGTATTTCCACTATTCAAACTTAAACTATTTTTATTACTTCCATACCTTACCTCGACTGGTGGCATTTTTTCTGCTAAGCGTGGCAAAAAGTAAGTCCAATTCTAGGTTCAATTTTGACACAGATTGAACTTACAATAAGGGTATAAGATACTTTGTCATCAGTCCTTTTTTATGTTACCACAGGTTTTACTGAAGAATAAAAAACTGTTGTTCCCCGAACTTACAACGATTGGTAGGAGTCAACCATTCTCCTTAGTTAACTAATGAAAAACCGTGGTAACGCCTGAAGAGAATTAAACGGCTTACGAATGACGCCAATGCTGACCACACAGAAAATAATTATGATTGCAGAGGTTTCAATAATTATACTACTTTTAACCAAATTGAAGAAAATTTGAACGAATTTTGCTACTACTACATTCCCATAAAGTGCAAGGAGAAGGATTTGAGGTCGCTAGAACTCGGTTGGGTGTAGATATTTGAAACTGATGAATCAGATCTATCGAATGACAGAGAGTAGACATAGAATTAATTTTTTAATTATTTTGTCTTCACGACTTCGAGTAAGGGGCAGTGCAGTTCATAGAACTGTATATTGATAAAATTTTCAAGATTACCAGAAAGAATTCAAGAATTAGCATCGAGTTTTTTTCAAATTCGGAAATTTCAAACATTCAGAATTAGCATCAAGAATCCATCAATAAACATCAAGTTTTTTCTTAATTCAAGAATTCAGGAATTCATTAATTGAAATCATCTTTGTCCAATTCGAGAAAGATTCATCAATTCGGATCAAGCATTCAGATATAAACATCAAGCTTTCAAGAATTCAACAACGCACAGACAGCTTTTAGTTTTTTTAATTGAAAGAATATAAAAATTCAACAGTTGAAAATGTGACTTCTTATCAATTTCTTGATTTCGAATTGCATGGATTAGAGTGGACTGTAGCGGATGACTCGATGTTCGGCTCACTCTCATCGTTCCACACCACCTCACACTGCACTAGGGTTACAAACAGACTTCTTATTTATTACTCTCTCAATTAAAACCATCAAGCTTTTTCTTAGTTCAAGAATTCAGAGATTCAGGTCGTCTTTGTCCAATTCAAGAAAGATTCAGGAATTCAAGAATACAGAAATAAACATTAAGCTTTCAAGAATTCAACAATTTACAGACACTTTTTAGTTTTTTCAATTGACAAAATATAAAAATTCAAAAATTGAAAATGACTTTTTGTGAACTTCTTGAATTCTAAAAAGCCAAAAATTCTTTCAATTTGTATCGAATCAGTTCGAACAATTCTTGGAATTCAAGTATTCAGGAATTGAAAGAATACATAAGTTTTAATTAAGAGAGTAAAAAATAAGAAGTCTGTTTGTAACCATAGTGCGGTGTGAGGTGGTATGGAACGATGAAAGTGAGCCGGAAACGAGTCATCCGCTACAGTCCACTCGGATTCACGCAATTGGTGGGTTTGTGACTTTCTTGAACAAGTGAATTCCAAGAGTTGTTCAAACTAATTCCATACAAATTCAAAGAATTTTTGACTTTTTCGAAGTCACATTTTCAACTTTTGAATTTTTATATTCTTTCAATTAAAAAAACTAAAAGCTGTCTGTGCGTTGTTGAATTCTTGAAAGCTTGATGTTTATATCTGAATGCTTGATCCGAATTGATGAATCTTTCTCGAATTGGACAAAGATGATTTCAATTTATGAATTTCCGAATTCTTTCTGCTAATCTTGAAAATTTTATCAATATAGAGTTCTATGAATTCTACTGCCCCTTTATGTGTTTGCGGAAGTCCTCTCCTCATCTCCATTTATATCTTGAACACAATACAACAATTATTGTCGCTTAATAAAACCAATCATTAAAAAGTATTATATATCTCGATATTTATTTATCATTACCCTTGTGATTATTTGTGTTTGAATGCCATCCAGATCTTTCATTCTGAACGCGGTCAAACGCATCAACCCGCAACGCTAAATTCGTTTGAGACAAAAATTTGTATAGGTAGATATGACGTGAAATTTAAACACATAAATTTATTCTTCGCAGAAACTCTGTAATTAGATTGGTGAAAGTATGTAGACAGTAGTTTGCAGATCACACACAGGTCACAAATATGCCTTTATAAATCGTTTACATGTTGTTGACGTTTTAATATGAAGCAATTGTATGACTCATTGTGAAAGATCATTTCAAGACTATGAGAATATCAGGTATTCACAAACTAATGAGAGAAGAGACATCGAACCACCTTCATGATAATTATGGATAAATACAGAAAACCCTTTTTACAACCTTGGTAGTATCGACCAGGTCAAAACAGAAACAACCAAAAATGCTCAAGAGACATTCTTTACATTAATACTAAAAATATTTAATGAAATTATTAATTTATATCAGAATTTCAAACTAATGAAATCGAAAATAACTTCAGAGTTTTGAATTACCATTTTGTACGTTAAGGATTTTCTATATGTGCTTAAAAAGATGTTTCTGTGCGAGGGGGGGGGGGGGTTATATTATGCAGCGATTAATTCATCGTTTTAAAAAATAATCTTGACATTAGGTAAAGACCCACGTCGATGCCATTTTTCTGATTTACCAACCGTTGGCAAATAACATATAATAATAAATAAATAATAATAACAACAAACTATCTCATTAAAAGGAAAATCTGAGGTGGAAAACTTCGAAATATACCAGGAATATGATGTATCTTTTAAAAATAGTATAATCGACTGTGAAATAGTGAATGATAACATCAATGGCAAAAAACGCACAGATCCCTCACAAACAGACAGTTGTCTCTATATGATTATTTATGACAGAGATTAAACGAATAAGAAAAAATTAATCTTCATGCTGAAATCAGTTTAGATATAAAAAAATTAAAGTGTAAATTTGAACAAGCAGAGTAATCTGTAAAGTAGTTTTCTTCATTTTCGAAGTGAAAAACAGATAAGAGTGGAAATCAACTTTTACAAAGTGGAAGACCGCATAGCTATCGCAGAGACCGCCAATCATTAGAAATTAGCATTGTGATGACGCTGAAAATCTCTAGTTTGAAAGGGGGAAAATGAGTTGACCGCAAAAACGTTGAAAGTAACGTTTTTATTGATGTCACGGTAAAGCCATTCCGTTCAATATTAAAGAAGTTGAGCCAACGGTAAAAGTGCGACATCCCAAAAAAAGCAACAGTTTTAATGTAACTTTGTCACGAATTTTATACGACTGTTTTTTACAGTGTATTTACCATCAGGAACACACTCTCAAAAATGTACACGTTTCACCGAAATGTGTGAACACTGAACTGTGCACTAGAACGATCGTAATCACATGGTTACCAAAAGTGTGAATGCACGTATTGTTTCTAATTCTCGACTATTTATTGGATATTTATCGAATACACGGATCAGTTGTGTGATTTATACGGGTGAACTGATTATTTTCTCATTGGGCCACATGGTTCATACACTTTATTCTACGCTTCATACACCGGATATCGACACTTCAAATGAGTGTTCAACGTGGAACCAATTCGTGGAACCAAAACGGATTGAAGCGTATGAATAAAGTGTATGAACGATGCCGCCCACATTAACTCAAAATGTTACCGTAAATATCATGCTAAAACATGCAATTTATATGTATATTGTATATAAATATATTTAATCTAAGGTTTCAACAATATTTTCGAGAAACCTCTCGTGTATTTATAAGTTATAAAAATTCAAATGTGTGTTTCTTTTTTTTCGTATACATATATACATGTAAATGTCATCCTTTTAGCATGACATCGTTACACATTTTCCATAACATTTCGGGACAGTGCAATGACAAAATAATCGAATCAACCGTGTGACTCGTTTTCGATTGGCTGTTTCCATGGCAATATTAATTTGATTGGCTTGAGCAGCTGTCTGAACAACATAACATCATATACTTGATGGTCATTTTTGAGAGTGCGGTACGGGTAAAGGTAAAATGCACATTTTTTTTGCAGGTTGCAGGTGCAGATCTGGCGCCAGTTTCATCAAAAAACGTAAGTTAAGAAATTTCTTAACATGAGTTTTTGGATGAAACTAACTTCAGACGTTCATTGGTTGGATGAGTCATAGACTCATACAGATAAAACATGGAAAAAAAGCAGTGTGATTGAGGCGAAAAAGAAAAGCCATGCGTGTTTCCCTGACATTCGGACACCGACAACGGACAACCGACAGACGCCTGTTGGTCAATATTTTACGTCCACACTTGTCCAATGGAAAAAAAATGAATTGGTTTTTTAGGTCCAGGGTAAAACTACTGATACTGACGCTTTTTGATTGGTCAAGTCCATAGTTTCACAGAGACGGTTAGCGTCAGTGTCAGTAGTTTTGGTTCTTCTACAGATCGATCACACCCCCTACTGTGGTGTGTGTGGAGTGTGAGTGTGTGATCGATCTGTAGAAGTACCGTAGTTTTACCCTGGGCCGTTTTTTATTGACCAAACGTAATATATCCATAAAATATCGACCAACAGTCGTCTGTCACTTGTCCGGGAAAAACTCATGCCAAAAGAAATTGAAAATAGTGGTAATATTAAAATGCTGCGGTGACTTTTTTTACCGACCGACTGACTTTACTGACCAAATTTGACTGGTGTAACCATTGGATAGACCAATCAAATTCACTCAGTAAAGTCAGTCGGTCGGTCAGTAAAAATAGTCAACACCCAAAATGCGGAGAAAAGTTTGCTTAAATTATGGGCTGAAAGCTATGATTGTTTCACACTTGCCGTGTTGACTCATCTCCTAAGGACATGTCGCTATCAAGCGGCATGCCCGCAGCGTGCCCGTATACATATATATGCCAATAACCCACTATCTCGATTCTTGCATACCTGTATAATGCATAAGATGGATACTGTGAATCAAGCATGCCCGAATTGTAAAAATGGATTGATCTTGGGTAGTTTGATCAACTCTGACTGTTCTTCTTCACCTCCTCTCCATAAAATACCTACGACCATTTTTTCGTGTTTTGCAGACAGAGAAAACTCGTTTGT